CAAAGCCATCTATACAAACTTCATGCTTATGGAATTAGTAGACACACTTAGTCACAATTCCAGGTCCAAGTCTTTACACCACTCTTTGCTTAGTCAAATTCCAAAGATGTTCTTACACGTTTTCTTTACAAGTCAGGTTATTTTCTTCTCAATCAAACTCTTACAAGTCAGCCTGTTTCCTTACAAGCCAAGCCTCACTCCAATAAACTACTAATCTACTTCAGCAGTGTGGCAAACACAAACTTATAATTTTACTACATTTTAAATTTCACTCTGCATTGAGGAGTTCCTAACTTTACCCTGTATTGAGTTTTTATTACAACTTCAATTTCACTATACACTGAGGAGTTCTTAAATTTAGTTTTTATTACAAGTTTAACTCCACTTTTCACTTCACAATGAGTTATACATGCCTCGCCCACGCCTCATTCATTTCAGTTGCACATGCACAGACAATCAAATGAAAACATAATTGCAATTTTATTTATTCAGAAATTTGTACATGAGTTCATTACAGCCATTCAAAACAAAAAACAAAACAAAACAACAAACAAAACAAACACAAACACACAAGTTCTGTGCAAGGCCTTCTTCTTCTTCTTTAAACTACTCTTCTTCACTGGACACAAGGCCTTCTTCTTCTTCTTCAAACTACTCCTCTTCACTGGACACAAGGTCTTCTTCTTCAATACCCTCATCAAGGGGGGTCTGGGCCACATCGTCGTCATCGATTTTCACACTACTCAGGTCCAAGTCTAGGAACAGCTCCTCAACTTTACGCTTGAACATTTTCCAACCACTGTCCCAGAACTCAGCCATTTCGTGCTTATAAAAGTCTGACCGCTGGAAGCTCTCAATCACTTCTGCCTCAGTCCTTCCTCCAGCAATCGTCCTCGGCGGACCCGCCTCCTCAGACTCCTCCCTCGCCAAGCTACTGGTGATCGCGGTATCTACTGCCATCTGAAATTCAGCAGACCCCTTGAACTGGTCCACTACTGCCACATAAAGATTGGGGTAAGCCGCCCTTTCAGAGGCTGCCTTAGCCCTCTCCTCTGCCAACTCCTTCTGAAGGCTCTCTTTTTCAGCAGTTGCCTTGGCTTTTTCTGCCTCCAACTCCTTCTGAAGGCTCTCCTTTTCAGCAGTCGCCTTGGCTCTCTCTGCTTCCAACTCCTTCCGAAGGCTCTCCTTCTCCTTCACTGCCTTAGCACACTCGCCCTCCAGCTCTTTTTACAGACCGTCAATCTTCACGTCTGCCTCATCCTTCTGCCTGACCAGCTCTTCATTATCGCTCATCGCCTCTTCATGTTGTTCGACCGCGACCGCGCAGGCTTTTTGGGCCTCATCTAACCTCTTCTGCTCGCCAGCCAGTTGGAACTCGAGCGACACAACCTGGCGGCGTGTGTTCTCCAGCTCCACCTTGACCGTTTGCAGCTCAGCGTGGGCACTCTCCCAGTTTGCGCTCTCCTTCTTCAACCTTACAAGTTGAGCCTTGGCCTCATCTGCCTTGAGCTTTGCAGCCCCAGCCTTCCTCAGCAGAGCCCCTGTTATGGTGGTTACCTCCATTTGAGCGGAGCATAACCCCCTCAGCAGTTCAGCCTCATTGAATCTGGCTGCTGAGCGTAAGGCTGCCTCTTCTACAATCCCCACAAGGCGGTCTGCCCCTGCCCTAGCTGGGCCTTCTTCTCCCTCCAACCGTCCAGCCACCGCACGAGCATGGTAGATTTTCGTAGTCAGATTGATTCCCCCTCTTTGGGGTGCAGGACCCCCCCTAGGGCTATTCTACCCTCCTTGGCTCAGGGCCAGTCGCCCCACCTTCTACTTGCACTTTAAGGGCAACCCTCGCAACCCCCGCGGCGATTGCCGCCACTACTGGAACGACTTCCATGCCCTCTGAGGCAATGTCCACTACTTCTGGGGCAATTACTCTTCTTGGGGTCTCCTTCACTTCCCCCCCTCTGCCTCCTTCGCCATACTGGTCTCTTCTGCCCTCACTTCCCTCTTTTTCTTCTGGGCAGGCTCTTCTTCACTCCTCATCACTCTCCTCTTCTTCTTCACTACGTCGAACACCTCCATCTCTTTCAATAACCTTTCCTTCAAAGGATCTATTGGGGGCGGTCATGGCACAAATTCACCTAAGTTTTTTCCCCCCAAGGGTTTGGGTCGCGGTCGGATCCTCTCCCTTGTAACCGGCTTTGGCGGTCAGTTTGCCTGAGACTCTTTGAATTTTTGGGCTTTGGCAAGGATAGTCTGATCCTCCGCCCCTTAAGCCTTCCTCCTTGCCTCCAACTCCGTTCGATCGAGGTCCCCACCATTCGGCTGTGAACCCAACCCTGCCTCAAACAAAGTCGACGGCTAAACGAGCTCGTCCCACCTGGCCCCTTCTTTTTTCCTCCATTCCTTTACCCTCTTCATCCTCTCCTCTGCTACTGCTCCCAGCTTTGGCTCCACAGACTTGGTGGGCACTTTCCAAATGGTGCGCACTCCAACCCTTCCACTGGTAGATACATAGAACCACTGTGGTCTCCACCCCTTGATCGACGATGGCAGCCCCGCCACCAGCCCTTTCCCTGCCGCTGCCTGCAGAGTGACCCAAGTCTCTTGCTGCCCTGAGGCCTTGTAACATGCGAAGAATTCGTTTACGGTCATGACCGCCCCTTCGTTCTCCTTCGGCCACGCACTTGCACAGGCCAGTAAGATCTTCCACGCATTGGGCATTAGTTGGCCCGGCATTACCTCCAAACGATTCAAGACATCTACCACCACTTGCGACAGGGGCAGCCTCAGTCCTCCCTTCAATGCTTCATCATTAAGGGCAAACTCCCCTGGACTGGCGTCGGATGGCCTCTCCGTCGACATCGGCAACAACAACTCTATTTCAGCAAGCACTTGGTATTTTTCGCGAATGGCCTCCAAATCAGCTGCAGTAACCGTTGATCTATCTGCCTTTGTATGCTAGTGATCTGGTTCTGCCTGACTGATTGGCTTTGGAGCTGCTATCATAGTGGAACCATGGGATCGTACCACCGACTACCCCACCCTCTCCATCCTATATTGCTGTGCTAACTCCACTGCATCATCATCACCAAGTGGATCCACCCGAACATTCGCAGTTTCTTCTTGGGCCATTTCTATGGTATGCTTGCGAATCGTTTCGGATGCAGGTGCAAGGAAGTTGAAAAAGTGTTGCAGAGGTGTATCGCGAGCAACAAAGGAATTCACACTTGGAATATTTTAATTTTTCGTGAACAAGTAGGTGAATCGAATGATGCCAAAAGCCCACAGTTTGCCCGTATTCCAATGATCCCAATTAATTTTTGCCAGCTTGAAAACTTTTCAAATCATCTGCCAAAACTGTCTTTTCAACACCCATAATGACCTATCGTTTTACTTCTGATCTAATGCCTAATCTCCCCCCCCCCCGCGGGATGTTGCCACGTGTACGACCACGATCCACTGTCTCCTCCTCTTACCCTGTCTTTTCCACTTCAAATCACCACGTGACACGCCGCCTCTCGAGCCCTATGCCCCTCCACCTCACCCTTCGCGGTCGACCCACCCTTCGCAATCAGCCCTCCTCGTAGTCAACCTTCCCACTCGGCCAACCTCCGCGGTCGGCCCCCTTTCGCGGTCGGCCCTCCTCGTGGTCGGCCCTTCCACTCGGTCACCCTGCACGGTCGGACCACCTCCTGGTCGGTTCACCCTCTCGGTCATCCTGCCAATCCCTAGCACCCTCATCTTCTTCATTGGTATTCCCTTCGTTGGACTAAAGCTGCACTCGGAAATGGGAAACTACTGACGTATATAAGCCCATAAAGGCCATGAATCACTATAAACAACCCAAGCCCATCACTTGGAGCCCAATACATAACCCAGCTGGTGAGGTCCAGGATAGCTGGAATCCAATATGGCATAAAGAGCCAATGACATTCAAACACATGGCAGCTGAAGGACGAGCCGCATCAGCAGACAAAGATCTGCAAAGTTATTGCCATTGCACATCACCATTAATGCAGCCCATCATAGCATTTATTACGACAACACCTCTCCGTCGAAACAGGACCCCCTTACCCTGAACAAGGTAAGTTATAGCATAGACTTTCGGCGAGGAGGTCAGGTCGGAAGGGACAGCGAAATGATTACCAAAGGATATAAGCAAACATTGAAGACAATAAGAAGGTTAAGTTTTTCTATCTCTAATCTCTCCCTCTACACTCTACTTCTCTTCCTGACTTGCTCATCGGAGGGTTCACTGGGGAACTACCCCGTTGAACTTGTTTGCAGGTTATCCGGTGGGCTTGATCATTTGGACTTGGGCTCGAGGAGCTTGGACCAGTTTAATCCATTCACTGGAGCAAACTGTATTATCAAAACTTATTCAGACACATATATGCGTTATGAGTTTACTTACCATCTAAGAGAACCAACCCCCTTGGATATATATATATATATATATGTATATTTATACAGCGTCGACATTGTGCTTCGAACGATTACCGATGCCCATGATATAAGAAATTTATATAAGTTTCACATACATTATTTGTACAATTCTTGTTAAATGAAATATTACGACGATAATAACAATACAAAATTACTTCAAAATATAGTTAATATCTGCATGTATAAATAGGAGTAATGAAAGTCAATTTTTTATTATTTTTTTTATACCTAAACTAAAGTTTAAGATATTCATGTAAATTTGCTATTAACAAAGAATGAAGAACTAAAATAGGAGATAAATAAAATTTTACATAATTAAATGGTATGTAAACTGCACTAAATTCAAGCTTCTTCTTCTTCTTTCTCTTTTTCTTTTTCGAATATGGCTATTTATTGGACATGGAACATTAATATTGGGATTTATTTTTTTTATTTTTACCAAAAAGAGACACTAAAAATAGTTCCAATAAACGACAAAAAAGGCTAATGTAGCCACATGGAGACAAAACAGAAATCACGGGCAAGTTCATACCCTTATTGGGGTAAATTTACCAAAATACCCTCACTGTTTTGAGCAAAACCCTAACCCTAATTCTAATCAGCTGTTAAATTCTGTTGATGTTTCATCCATGGAAACTGCCACAGCCACCCCCACAACCACCGGCATCGCCGCCGCCACAGTTAAAACCCCAGAACCAGAAACCGAAGCTCCGACCCGGGTGCAACCCACCAAGCCTTTATCCTCCACCAACGGCGTACTCAAGCGCCACCACCACCCTCTCCACCACAACCACCACCTGAATGGCCCACCGCCGCCACCTGCAGTGGCTGCTTACAAGGAATGTCTCAAGAACCACGCTGCCTCTCTGGGCGGCCATGCTGTCGACGGCTGCGGCGAGTTCATGCCCTCCCCCACCTCCATTTCCACCGATCCCACCTCGCTAAAATGCGCCGCCTGCGGCTGCCATCACAATTTCCACCGCCGTGAGCCGGAAGACCCACCAACACCCTCCACCGCCCAACACGTCATCGAATACCAACTGCAGCACCGCCACCACCCTCCGGTGCTACCACGCAGTCTAAATTTAGCATCTCCGCCGCCGATCTCCTCCGCCTACTATCCATTAGCACCCCACATGCTCCTCGCTCTCAGTGCGGGGTTATCGGGGCAAGTACCGGCGGAAAACAGACCAGTAAATTCATCCGGGAAGGGTAACCCAAATGGGCGGAAGAAACATAGAATGAAATTCACGCAGGATCAGAAGGAGAGGATGCTGGAATTTGCGGAGAGAGTTGGGTGGAAGACGCAGAAAAAGGACGATGAAGTAATCGCCGAGTGCTGCAACAATGTTGGAGTCGGCAGAGGTGTTTTTAAGGAATTAGAGAGAGAGAGACAACTTGAACGGCAGTTTGGTCTTTTAACATGGAGACACCTCACCAAAAAGTCAAAAAACCAAAAAAGCCAAAAAATCCTTCCCAAACTAGGCTTTTTAGCCCCTGTCTAAAATAGCCAAAAAAGTCAAAAAGCCAACCCACTTCCCAAACGGAGGCACAGTTAATGCTTCTATACTATCTATCTCTTTAAAGAGGTCTAATTGACTCTGCAATTAAGGAATTGTTTGAACAAACAAAACTCAATTTTCACTCACCACCTTCAATGTTTGTATTTTAGTGGAGCAATATTATACAAATAAAAAATTTATACATAATGATGTATTTATTATGGGGTTTTATTTAAAAATAAAATACCAATTGTAATATATTAGTAATTTTAATTAAATGCAATTAATTTTCTTCTTTTTATGAGTTCATACCTAATTCGATACACCGGTGAGCTATGGAATTGGGGACACTACTGCATAGCCCGCGCAGTAGCAACTACTGTGAAGCGAAATGGGCTGATAATCCGAATTGTTCATACCTTAGAATACATCAAATAGAACATACTTGTAAAAAATCCAGTTAATCAGATATCGTTTACCTATTCATCCACTTATATTTGTATTCACAAAAATAAATAATAATTGTGATTTAAAATATTAAAATGAATAAAAATATGAATGGATGAAAGGGTAAACGAAACATATGCGATACACGGAAATTTATTTTTAAAATGAAAAATTGACTTTGAGTCTTAATACTTTGTGTATAAAATTTTAACAATTGAAAGTTAAATACAAATAAATTTGCTAATAGCTGATGAAAATTTTTATCACTGTGTGTAATCCTATGTAAAAGGCTCATAAAAATAATTTCTTTCAAAATTTTTTAAAAAAAGTGTATTCTCAACCTATAATCAAATCCTCATTTGTGTTAATCAAATTTATCAAAAATCATGAATTCTATTTGTATCAAAATATTATTTCTAAAAAACAAAAAAACAAAAAATTCTATAATATACAAATTATGACTTAATTATAACTCATGGTGTATTATTTTGGTTATTAATCGAAAAAGTCTTTGCTAATTTATTATTTTTTGGTTATGTCTAAAGTGATGCATTTGGTCCTTAATTATACTTCAAGTTTGTTTGATTATGATCTATTATAGTATTTTTATATGACTATATTTTAGTATTAGGTAAATTACAAACAACCCCCTGAGGTTGGATTAAAATATAAATCACCCCCTGTGATTCTAAAAATTACATTCCACCCCCTGAGATTTTTAATTTCATAACAAATTGTCCCTTTTATTAATAAATCATGAAATCAATTAATAGTTTTTAATGATATTAGAAATATGTTTAAATTAATAATTTAGGTAATTTTATTATTGTATAGGAGAGCAATTATGAATTTTATTTTTTAGTTAATTTTGTTAAATAAAAAATTCTGACAATGGGATATTTGTAATTTTCCAAATCATAGGAGGCAATATGTACTTTAAGCAAGCCTCAAGTGGTGTATTTGTAATGTATCCTATAAAATTTAAATTAAATATAAATGTTTTGTAAAAAATAATTTCATGTTAAATAAAAAAAATTAAATATAAATTAATATTAAGACATCTATAAGATAGACAAAAATAAAAAAATATAAAAGAAAATTAATTTGATCCATGCAATGAAAAGTAAAATTCATAAAATAATTAATAAATAAGTGAAACTGAATATTAAATGTAATATTTTAGTATTTTAATTTTATCATATTTAAATAATTTAATTATATATTATAGGGTAAATTACATTGACACCCCTGAGATTTATGTTTATTACAGTTCCCCTCACCTTTTGGAAATTACATCCCCTCCCTAAGGTTTAAAGTTTCATTACAGATTGCTCCCTCTAGCAATTTAATTTTTTTAAATACCAATTTTTCCCCCACTGGGTAAGTTACATTGACACCCTTTACATTTTAGAAATCACAATCCCGTCCCCAAAGTTTAAAGCAGCATTACCAATTGCCCCCTCAATTAGTATTAGTTGAAAAAAAGTTTCATTGAAAAAAAAAATTATTGAAAAAAAAATTTGTTAGTCAAAATTTTAAATTTCTATTTAAAAATCAACGTAAGATAAAAATTACATTGACACCCCTTGAGATTTATGTTTATTACACTTGAAAGATAAAAATTATATAAAAATGATAATTATTTTTTATTTTTTATTTCTTAACCAAATTAATTTTTAATTTTTTTTAAAAAATTCTAAAAATCAAACCATACGTAGCCTAAGAAATCTTTTGATTAGCCATTTCTTACGTTGGTAATTTATTGAATTATGTGTTAATTTTACAATATTTTTACCATCTGAGGCCTGTTTGGTAATTATTTCATTTTCAATTTTCAATTTATATTTACAAAAATTTTAAAAACTGTCATAAAACTTGTTTGATAATTTTTTAGGTTATAAATAGTTATCTCAGTTTGTAAATTTGAGAAAAAAACGTAAATTCAAAAAATAAGTTTACGTTGGTTTTTAGACAGAAATTTAAAAATTTGACTAACAAAATTTTTTTTCAATTAATTTTTTTTTCAATAACTTTTTTTTTCCAATTAATTTTTTTTCAACTAATACTAATAGAGGGGACAATTGGTAATGCTACTTTAAACCTTAGGGAGGGGATTGTAATTCCTAAAATGTGAGGGGTGTCAATGTAATTTACCCAGTGAGGGAAAAATAGGTATTTAAAAAAATTAAATTGTTGGAGGGAGCAATCTGTAATGAAACTTTAAATCTCAGGGAGGAAGATGTAATTTCCAAAAAGTGAGAGGAGGAACTGTAATAAATATAAATCTCAAGAGATGTCAATGTAATTTATCCTATATTATATTTAATAAATATAATTGGAGCAAAGGCAGGGTAGAACGGGACTAAAAAGAAAAAGGTTTCCTACCTGAGAGGGTAATTTTTGGGAAAGAATTGGGCCGAGCTATGAGTTGGGCCTTGCGGCCCAAAGTGTGAAGGAATCGGTAAGAAGCCGAGTAATGTTATTTCGGGCCCAAGTAGAGGGCAATAGATACTCCGGTCCAGGGAAGTGTAGTTAATTCCGGCCCAGGAGAGGTGTGGTTACTCTGGTTCAAGAATGTGTAAAGCAACTCCGGTCCGGTGCAATTTGAAGTAAGTCCGGCTTATGGCTTTAGTCCGGTCGTGTCATGAATTTGGTTAGGTCGATCAAGAACTTGCTACTGGAAAGTTTGATGCTAAACACCCATGGTTGAACAGGGGAAACGCCGAAGAATAAGGAGTTGGAATGGAGAAGACGCGAGCTAAATGGACAGTTCGCCTCTCCTGTGTGCTCTGCAATAGCCAACTTAATTCGGTCCATATAGGCAGTTCGACCAAGTGAAAACCATACCCACTTGGTTTAAGGCAAGGGGGGAGGGTGTAAAAAGGAATAAGCAATTATCTTAGGAAGTATGAATCCTAGGAGGACTCTGCATGGAGAAATAAAGTCCTACTAGGATTATGCGCCACTCGAAACCTATAAAAGCTCAACAAGCACCACCTTGGAGGAGGAATTGAACACAATTCTTTCTGAGAACATAAAACTTTGTCTATGATTGCAAGCTTACTGACTAGGCATCGGAGAGGTTTTCCGGCCACCCACCCGCCGGCTAGCTCACGTTTGTGTTTTCAGGTGATAAGCGACGTCGACGGAGAAGCCGTGGACTTGGTCAATAGGATTATACGAGAGATTTATTTCCCCCCGTACAATTGGCGCCGTCTGTGGGAAGAAACAGACAAGAACAAAAACACTCTTGACTAAACTTCTCCTTTTCTCAAATCAATGGCACACATTTGAAAACTACCGGCAGATCCGCCGTCGACAGGGCTAACTCCAGACGGGGCGCAAAGCGAGAAGGATTACCCTCTGTTCCTCCTATGGCAGATCTTGGAGCCCCAACATTTACATAACTGCCAAGGAGGAGTGGGCAGGGGAAGGTGGAATAGCAGCCCTCGTCCACTCTCAAAGTCCTGAAAGGCAAAGGAGGAGGATTGATCCTCAAAGGCCCTGGAAGATCGCGTGAAAGAGCAAAGATGAACTAATTCGGAAGATGGCGGCGGACATAGAGGCATTAAAACGCCAGATGAAGACTAAAGATGTGGCGACAGGAGAGGAGCGCAAGCACAAGACGGCCCCCTCGCCACTCAGAAGAATCGTAGTAGGAATACTACAACCCTCCCAAAGGAGAGAAGCAGAAGGCCTCAGAACAAAGTGACACTCATTCCTTATCTTCCCAGAACTCGTCCTCCAGTCTGAGAGGAACGAAGATCCGAAAGATCATACACTGAAGGAAGCACGTATTGGCGCCTTCGCACTCACACACAAACCGAGATCCTAGACAGACAGAGCTGCCCAGGTCATCCGACTTACAACCAGTGCTCGAAGAAAAGGCACGATGCAAGGGGATGCAGGGGCACGCGATCCACACAAGAGTCTCTGGCTTACAAACGGTTGGCTCCTTCGGACGCATGGAAGCGTCGAGGTTGGAATGCCAATACCCACGCCCAGCATATGAACCAACGGACAAAGCTTAGCAAGACTAACAGACCTCGCCGTTTGTTCCCGCAATTAAAAAAACGCGCCCCTGAACCATCAAAGGCTTCCTTCAGCCGAAATTCACTACATATGAAGGGAAGGCGCGACCCGTATTCACAACTTGAGCCACTTTCGCCAAGTCATGGCTGTGTAACAGACGAAACGAGGCCTTAATGTGCATACTCTTCCCGTCAAGTCTTGGCGACCTAGGCTTGAACTTGGTTCGAAAAGCTCCCCAGAGGGCAGCATAGCCTCCTGGGCCCAATTGGCAGAAGCGTTCGTAAACAAGGTTTCGAACAACACCTAAACACCGGTGGAGATAGACCAGTTAACTCTCCATCGGCATGGGTGAAAAAG